GTATAAAATCATATAGTTGACTGCCTCATTGGCCGAGTGGTCGCAAGTGCGACTAACCGGCAAGGGGTTTCGGGTTCGATTCCCGGGTCGGGCAAAGTATAATTGGGTTTTTCAAAAAATCACAGTAGTAGCACGGAGTCTGGAATTGTACCTGGTAAATGGCAATAGGCTCACCCCCTGTTACATGGGACTCATAACATAAATAGTGAAAAGTGGGTGTTACATTGTACAGTGGCATAATGTACACCTCTGCCTACCCCTTCGGGGATAAAAGGCATGATGTTATATTATGTCATATAGTTTATACCCCAGAGGAATGTATGTAGATGTTTATTTACAGTTCATTGACTTTTTGCCATCACTCACAAACCAAACGTACCTATTTGTTCATTTAACGTGTACATCAAAATAGCCTATAAACTTGCATATTAAAAATTAAATAAAAAAATAAACAACACTACCAAAATACATGAAAACTGCTCACCAAAATAATGTCCGAAAATAAAAAAAGAGATCTGTTTCATCGATAATTACCTACGAAATGAGAAAAAAGCAGTTAACAGCACTCGTGAAGTCGTGATATCGACGCAACTGTCTGTCGCTTCGTAACATTACACAGATGGCAACGAACGAACAATATACTTTATTAATGACTTATCGTAAAAGTTTACGTGCAAAAACAAAATGGCCGCCGCGTGGCGATTCGGATATTCGTTGTCTTTATTGCAGGATTTTATTTATTTTTTCCAAATGTTTTGTGCAGCTGACCTACTAATGACCTATAAAATTGGCTATCATTAAGATCTGTGTTATTTAGACAGACTTATTCAATATAGCCTAAAACCGTTGTCACAACAGTTTTTTTTTTACAAAACGTTGCCCCACACTAGGATTATCTCCTGTGTCGTGGGTGCGTTTACAAACATACAAGTTCACATACACAATGACACCCAGACCCGAAACAACAATTTGTGGATCACACAAAGAGTTGTTCCGTGCGGGAATCGAATCCGCGACACGTTGCACGGCAGCCGGTTGTCCAGCCACCGCACCAACCGTGCAGTCAAGTTATAAGTATTCTTCGCGCCTATTTCTAAGTACCTAAATTTTTTCGTCTGCGTAGTACCTAAATAGACTGATGTCATTGATATGAGATTTTGACTTCTCTCCTCTCTTCTCTGGCAGAGCTGTAGTTTTCACATTGAGGCGGTCGTATTTGTGTTAAAGGCCGAAACTGGTTGCCTCACGATCTCCCGCCTGGTTGTCTAGCGCAGTCTGACACTGAATTTCTTATTGCCGATTTGACTTGATCAGTCCAGCGCATATTTGATTTGTCTCGTGATCAGGTTCCCTCTACTTCCCCCTAATTTTGACTTCCCAGAACACAAATTCACTATCTTACACTCCTGCCAAAAAGTAATTCATTACACGTACACTTAGCTCTAGTGTTCCCAGATTAACCATCAAATATTATAAGTAGGTAATACTATTAAAATATCTCTAAAACTGTTTCTGTCACCTTTATACAACCTTGAACAGAAAAGGATAGCAAGATACGGTTACTGCAAGCCAGACCACCGTTCCAGTACTTGGGAGTTAAGTCATTAATTTTTGCTCAACTTTGTGTTACTTTTACGACCTTATTTTATGTACCTGTGACCCTAAAACTCGGAGTAGATGTTTACGAAGCGAACCGAAATTAATGTTAAGGGATATTGTTACAGTAACTAACGGTTTTTCTATTGCAACATTAATTAAAAGTTTTGCCGCGAAATACTTAATGAATTCCTGTGTTTTATTGTAGCAGTTTGGGGTTGTAATGTTGGTGCAAGTTGGGAAACTGTGGCTATTTGTTGCTTGTTAGTAATTATCTGCAGATTGTTTTAGAATTATTTGTTTGTTTTTGAGATTAGATCATTTGCAGTGATGCTTTTCCTGACTTCTCTATTTTCATCTTCATTGTTATCAAAACAAGCTAGCATTATTTTTATTGTAACTTTTGTGAGACATACTAAATACATTATTATGTTTTCGGCTTACTCGCGTAATAATTTGACGAGGAACTCAACTAATTTCAAGCCATGCTTGAGGCTCATATTCATCAGCGGCATTTCGCTAGCATTGTTAAAATCTGTATCTCCTTTAGACTTAAATCCTCAATAATTATCTTAACTGAGATCCATCAAAGTAATAGGAAAGAAAAAACACAATTATACATAACTATACCTATAGGTACAATATTAATATGCATTAGTAACTAGGGACTGAGTCCGCTGCACTAATTTCCACATCAATGGATAATCATGTCTATGGGCTGTAGCAGTCAGGATACTGTGGTGACTTTCAAGCAAGCGACTGATAAGTAATTAAGTCTTATTGCGCCCTAAAGAAGCGACTTCATCGGTGTAAGCATCAGTAGACATTGCTGACGCAATACAGAAACGTGAAAGCCGTAACAGTATCCTGGGCAGATTATTTTTACTTACATCACATCAATTCTCTTTAAGCTATCAGATCTAGCTCTTTCAATCTCAGCAATCCTCATATCAATTGTCAAAGTTAAACTCTATGCAAAGGCACAATGAACTAAAATTGATCAATCCTTTCCAAGTATCTAATCGAGTTTGTCACTGATTTACGTATACGCCTTTGTGTTCGGATTTCATACACAGTTCTGACCAGAGGCGATTACAGGCAAGAGAATTTCGAATCAGCACTTGTCAATGTCAATTCCAGAACATTCGGATGGAATTTCTAGTTATTCGGATAGTTTCAGTCTGGCCTTGTCTAGGTACAGATTGACGCTGTTTAATTACTCTGTGTTTGTGAAAGGAATTGTTTCCTGGATATCAGCTTTGTTAACTACAAACTGTGTGTTATGTGAGACGAGAAGGTACGAAGTTCGGAATATATAGATGTGTATTGAATAAAAGAAAGGCCATTTTCGTGGTTTGGGACCATTATAAATTAATACTTTAAGTCAACGATATGCTACCTAATGAGACAATAACTGGGCAGTTGTTAATGTAGTAAGCTAAACGTTCGCACGTCGCCGGGGCGAAACTCCGCTGCCGCGCCAAATAAGTGCGTGGCGGGATGAGCTCCGGCGCGATCTCATGGCGGAATGGCAGCAGCGACTGTCGCAACCGAGGGCTGGGCTCGCTGCCATCGCAGCGGTAAGTCCCCTCTTTGAGGAGTGGCTTGAGAGACGCTACGGCGTCCTCACCTACCGCCTGACACAGGTCCTCACCGGACATGGGAGTTTCGGGAGGTACCTGTGTCTGATGGGGCGGGAGGAAACGCCCGGGTGTCATCACTGCGAGGACCGCCCTGAGGACACGGTGGAACACACGGTGGGAGAATGCCCTGCGTGGGCTGAGCACCGCCATGTCCTCAGGGAAGTGATCGGCGATGGCGACCTCTCGCGTCCGGGCCTAGTGCAGGCCATGATGCGGAGCGAGGGGGATTGGGATGCCGTCTCCTCCTTTTGCGAAGCAGTCATGCTAGCTAAGGAGGAGGCGGGACGCGTGAGGCAGCGAAGCGCTGCCTCCTCGCAACCCAGCCATCGCGAAGGACACACCCGGCGTCGGGGATCGCGGGACGATCTCCGGCCACCGTAAGCGCGGGCCTGCGGACGGCGAGCATGGGTGGCTCCCCGTCCGACCAGAAACAGACCTGAGCGTACGGCGCGTCGCGTTCCGCGCGCGCCTCAAAGAGCCATCAGACCACCACAGATGGGGCCCAATAGGGCCGATGCCGATTCGGAGTCGCGGAGAACCTAACCGGTAACCGGGGCTCCGGCTCGACGTGCAGGAGAAGGAACGGGGTGGTTTTTAGTCAGTAAGAGTCTGACACTCCCTCCCGCCTCACCCAGGCGGGAGCAGTCATTCGATGATTTTCCCCCCTTAAAAAAAAAAAAAAAGCTAAACGTTATAAGTAATGTCTGTATGACTAAGTACGACTGTTTTTTTCTCGATTTGAAAATCGTCATAGATTGTCAATATTTTCCTTATAAGAGCCAATATTAATTAAAAATGTGACACTCCATCAAAGACTTTTACAAAATAGTTTTATTATCAAACACTGAAACAAGATCCAAAAAGCCAAAGAAGTACTTACAAATTATTAAATTACTCTGACATCCATTTTACATTTTCAATCACTAAAATTACATTGATTTTACGTTGAAAATTTCAACATGAAATTCAGAGAAGTGAAGTTATTAATTAACAAAATACCTTTACGATATTATTGAGTACTTTTATGTGAATTATGAAATAATTTTGTTATACATTTTTCGTGTAGCGACGATAACGTGATATTTGAGAAACAGTAGAACTGTGGAAAATCTGTTCTATAAAATAAAACGTCGGAGTTATTTGAAAATAAATATTTTGAAATTGATTATTATTATTTTGTGACTGCCTCATTGGCTGAGTAGTCGCAAGTGCGACTGCTGGGCAAAGGGTCTCGTGTTCGATGCGGGGTCGCACAAAGTATTACTGGGTTCAAAAAAAATCTCAATAGTAGTACGGAGTCTGGAATTGTGCCTGGTATATGGCAATAGGCTTCCACCCTATTACATGGGACTCATAATATAAATAGTGAAAAGTGGGTGTTACATTGTACAGTGGCATTAAGTGCCTTTGCCTAACCCTTCGGGGAAGTTATGTAGTTATGTAAAATCGATAATTTAAAATGACTTAATTAGAAAACTATTTAGTGACGCAATGTGCACCTCTGCCTACCCCTTCGGGGATAAAAAGGCGTGATGTGATGTTATATTATTATCTATTATTTTGTTATGTGTAAAATGAACAAAGTCGGTGAACTGACTTTTATATTTGTGTAAATGTTACGTCATTGATTTCTTTTATTCCATTTGAACCGAAAATTGCAAAAAGTGTAAATAAACATTGTGTCCTTTTTTATGTCAACGGCTTTAACAGAATTCATAGACAATGCTTTAAGATATGTACTTAATTATCTTTTTGTTACAGTTACTTTTTGGATTTTGGCTCTGGATCACGATTTGCGACTTGTCCGAGGAGAACTCGCATACGTTGCGTTGAGCGACCCTGCTGGTACCAAGGTCGCTATATGGGAGCAACTCTCTATGGACGAAGGTAAGAATTTTAATCCCTTTGTACTTTTCGCCGGTTTGGTATACACTTATTTTTTTTTTTTGTTCAAGTGTTCAAGCTACCATGAGTTTTGTCTAGCTGTAATATCTTTTATTTGTCTTCCGAGCAATGAATTATGTAACCTACTTCTCAGATTATAATGTCAACATTTAATTTAATTAAAAATGTTTATACTTTTTTAACATTGCAGTTTACATTTTTCAGTACAATCACTTAAAGTAAGGTAAAAGGTTAATTGACAATACTTGGTTCGTCTCAGAAATGTTATTCTTTTTCTAAGTAAAGCCGAGAATTTATGATTCCATAATACTGAAACACTAATTACAGACGAACAAATAATGAATTGTAGCAGCAAGGTTCGAAAAATGAGCACAGGGTTTACGTTTTCGTAAATAACATATAAGTCATTGTAAATTAAAAAGTGTATGACTTAGATTATTTTTAAATATTATTCTGGTAACTGTTGGAACCTTTCCGGTCACCTGGTATCATTTGATTGTTGACTTCACGGACACCCTGTATACAGTTTTAGTAGAGACAAACGATTTAAAAACTAAACAACACAAAAATAAAAAAGAAAACCATTAAACTAAGTTTTCAGACAATCACTTTACAGAAGTAACAAAATAATCACATGATACAACCTTTTTGTCAAATCTCCAAGGAGGTTGAGTAAATAATATGGGCAGAGATGATCTCTTACCGTCCGCTAAAAGCCTTTGCTTGTACTCGGCTGAGGATTGTATATACCTACTGGTTGACAGATTGTATTTCCTTAGACAAAATACTTTAATGTTTAATGTCAAGTTAAAGGGGATAGTTTATATAGATTTAAGTAACGTTTTAAACTGTCAAACACCAAGCGGTCACCGGTGACCGCAACCTATTGTTCTATAATTGTGTCTACAAAACCGGTACTCGACGAGTTAAAGTTGTGGGTTGGTTTTTTTTTAACCTTTTTTTGTTAAGTTCGAGTTCAAAGGAATGAAAATATAGGGTATGACAAAATAAAACATATTTTTCACATTTTAAGAGGTTTTATTTAGTTGGATCTGCCTGTTTGTTTGGGTTTATAGTAATTGTAATTTCTCCCCCTTTCTGATTCCAGAACAATCAGATTTTTGGAACACACTCTTATTCTTGATGAACATACAGATTAAAACCGATTAATATAAAAAAAAATGTTTGTTGCATGTTTAAGTCCTCGCATAATATATTATTTTATTGTATCAGAATAGCAGAAAATTATAACTCATGTTTTAATGGAAGTTTTTACGTAACTGTTTTTTTTTATTTTACTATATTTTTCATTTCACGGCATAAGCCGGTAAACGAGCAGACGGATTACATGATGGTAAGCTATCGGCGTCACCCATGGATATCTGGAACACCAGATGCGTAACAAGTGCGTTACCGGTCTTTTGCTAATTAGGAATTTTAGGATTGTTGGGGATGCAGGGATTGAGGAGATTAGGAAAGGGAGGGTAATTGGGCCACCCAGTAACCTCACTCACGCGACGAAACACAACGCAAGCGTTGTTTCACGTCGGTTTGTCTGAAAGATCGTGATATTACTCCGTTCCATTCATTCGTGCCGAAGCATGGCTGTTTCACACTTAACTTACTATTACCTGCAAAGTTCATTATGAAAACAAAACATAGTGATATCATCTACATACATAA